TCAATTACTAACACGGTTGTTAAGTGAATCCGGCTACCTCATTGCTCCTCAGAAGATTGCGTGGCCCCGGGTCACGTTGCGACCGTCACAAATACGAGTCAGTTGTTGCCAAGCGTCCGAATTCGCATCACGTGAACGTGGGGATGGTGCAGTGGTCGTTAAGTGTGAAAAATGGTCCTAAATCATACTTTTCTCAGTGCTGTTCTAACTCTGAACGGTCACTAAACAGAGAGTCGTAAGTCAAAGGTTACCTGACCGATCTATCATAGCCCTGAGTTTACACATTCCGTTTCCAAACATTTTCTTTAACGTCACATCACAATCCAGAAAGCAGTTTTGTTCCTTCACGTGGACAATCAAAACAAGTGGCTTCCTTCATCAAAGGAAAAAAGAGATTAGCTATTGCTGGTAGGCGAAGCTTTTTCATCTTTTGAAGATAAAGAGATCAATTCTTGGGATGCTTTTTTTTAAAAAACAAAAAAAAACAGAGATAGAGGTTATTAAATAGCTTCCCTGAAAACCTCGCTTGAGCCGGAGAATCACAGAGTCACAGAACAGAGAAATGCTGTGAAAATTCAACAGCTTCACACAAAAGGCAAGACAAAAAAGTGAGGCCACAACAGCACTTCATGCAAAAAATAGACAGAAGAAACCAGACCGAAGTTTAAACGGATTCTTTTCTTTTGGAAAGAATTATAACTACAGGGTACTGATATTTCCATAGGTGAACAGGTAGTCCTCAACTTACGANAGGCTTTTGGGGTCTTTTCTGAGCCTTTTTTCAGTCCACCTTTGAAGCTTTTTTGGCCCGTTTTTGAAACTTTTTTCAGCCCATTTTTTATGCTTTTTCCAGGCCGTTTTCGAGGCTTTTTTGAGACTTTTTTCAGCCTGTTTTCGAGACTTCTTTGGACTGTTTTTGAAGCTTTTTTTGGCCATTTCCCCCCCAAAAAACAGGCTGGAAAAAAGCCTAAAAATGGGCTGAAAAAAGCCTCAAAAATGGACCAAAAAAAGTCCCGAAAACAGCCGAAAAAAGTCTTGAAAACAGGCCAAAAAAACGCCCCTCAAAAACGGGTCCAAAAAAGGGAGATGTGGGTGGGGGGAGCTTAGGCAATATTCAGTCTATAAGACGCACAGACATTTTCACTCCCTTTGGGGAGACAAAAAGGTGCATCTTATAGTCCGAAAAATACAATAATAGGATTACCCCTCTAGCAGCAGGGCTCACTTCCGTTCAAAATTTCCTAAGGACATGGCGTCACCCAGCAAGGTTAAACCAAACGTATCACAGACAACCTCAGCTGTGACCCCTGCATAGCCCCATAGGAACCTGACAGCAGCCAATAGAATACCTATTCTTGCACAGGAACAGGAAGCTCCAGTTCAAAGCCCAAGAGAGGGTACAAAAAACCCACCCACTCTCAACTCCATTTGGTCGGCTGCCCAGAATGACATGTGGGTTCTGCTTCATCATTAAACCATCTTTCCAATCAGTCTCCATGCTTCCAATGTGTGTCCCCCCCTCCCCCCGGCCAAAAAAAAAACACCTGGAACTGAACCAGATGGATTCTTCTTCCAACAGTAACAACAGCAGCAATTCCCTTAACAACGGTGGCAAGAAAGGAGACAAAACTCACTTAAAAAAATGTTTCGCTTAGCAGCAGAGATTTAGGGCTCCGTCGTGGTTGTAAGTCAAGGACCACCTCTATGCAGATAGCCCTCGATTTCTGAGCATAATTAATCCAGGAATTGCAGCCATAAATCATTTGGTGTATATGCTTATGTGTGTGTTTGTGTACATGTACATATGTATGGAGAGAGAGGGGGAGAGAGGGAGAGGGAAAGAGAGAGAGAGAGAAAGGATGAGAATGAGTTTGAGCTTTCTATGGCATTGCAGATCACAATACTAGGTTTCTTTTTCCTGGAGTGGTTTTAAAAAAATTGAAAATGAAAGTGGGTTTTTAAAGGGGTACATGTCCAGTTCATTTAAAATTTCAATTTGGGGGGGGGGGAGTCTAACTAAAAATTTAAAGTTCAGGCAGATAAAAAAATGTCTTGTTTAAGGATTTAAATCCTAAGAACTACATTTCTGCCTTTTTCCCCCTGCAGTGGTTGTTAAGCAAGCATTAAGCAAATGCAGCGGTCTTTATGCGAATCTGTTCTTTTGAATGGCCGTTTTTGGGGCTGAAAGCCTGCATTAAAAAAAATAAACCCTTGAGAATTGCAGTGGTGCATGGCTGCAGAGTATACGATGGGTCTTAAAGTTGGGACGGCTGGGTGAGCAGAGTGAGGATTTATGATGTCTGGGGAGTGTTTTATGGCCCATAAAGCTGTTCCAGTGGACCTTCGTAACGTCATCGCTCATAGGAGGGGAGGTTGTTAAGCGAGGCTTTCCTGCTTTTCTCTTGGCGAGGTTTTCACGCAAGGATCACGATCTCCAGCAACACCTTTAAGATATACAACTATTTATATACCTCTGCATGACCAGGCCAAGGGTGAAATTTGTGGAGGAAAAAAAGAACAAAATGGCCAGCAAGCTTACAACATAGGCTAGTCCTCAACTTATGACCACAATGGGGCCTAAGATTTATGTCGCTGAGTGAGGCATTTGCTCAATGAGTTCCGTTCCATTTTACGATTTTTTCTCCTGCTGTTTGTCTACGGGAATTCTCAGTCAGGGTTGTCCCAAAGGTGATTTATTTTTATTTTTTTTTGCCAAGAGGCAAATGAGATTTTCTGGTTCTTCTTTGAAGACGTTTTGCTTCTCGTCCGAAAAAACTTAATTCTGCTCCGATTGGATCCTTCTGTCAAGAGTTCGTTGCAGAAAAATCAAATCCAGAAAGCACCCACAGATAACCGATTCAGCTGGATCCATTAACTTCTTTATATACGTAACGGATGAATAAATGCACAATACCAATATAGGTTTTCTCCAACATGGTAGTAGTTACAACAGTGTTTCTCAACCTTGGCAACTTGAAGATGTCTGGACTTCAACTCCCAGAATTCCCCAGCCAGCATTCGCATTCGCTGGCTGGGGAATTCTGGGAGTTGAAGTCCAGACATCTTCAAGTTGCCAAGGTTGAGAAACACTATTCTAGAATATTTTGTCCAGTCCTTGTTGAACAGCCACTTGTTTAGCAGCTGTTCAAAGTTACAGTGATGCTGAATGATGGGCAACTAATGACCATTTCTTACAGTTGTAGTTGTTGACTCTTCTCTGCAGTGGCATGACTCAAGCTAGGACAGTGATGGGCAACCTATGACACGCGTGTCA